TTTGTCAGATAATTATCAATGCTCACCTATCTCCCCACACCGGACTGTGTACTCATTGAGACAGGGATTCCAACTTATTTCTCCAAACCTCTAGCACCTAGTACAGGCTGTATTACATGGTAGTCCTTCAACAAATGTGTCTTTCATAAGCAAATGTGCCTCAAGTATTTTGCCTCAGACAGACAGGTGGAGTTTTTTGACTCTCCTGACTTGTTTAGTCACCAAGTTGTGCCCAACTCATCTGCGACCCCATGGACTGTAACCCACCAGGCTCTTTTGTCTGTGGGATTTCCCAGGCAAGAATGGGAGTGGGTTGACATTTCCCTCTCCAGCGGATCTTTCCAACCCGTGGATGGAATCCAATCCATGTCTCCTGTATTGGCAGGCGGATCCTTTACCACTGAGCCAGCAAGGAAGCCCCTAACCTGATCCTTTATCAAGGTAAAGGATATCAACAAGTCAGCAGAGTCCAGAAAACTTCACCTGTCTGTCTGAGCATTTGCTTATGAAAGACACATTTGTTGAAGGACTACCATGTAATATAGCCTGTACTAGGTGCTAGAGGTTTGGAGAAATAAGTTGGAATCCCTGTCTCAATGAGCACACAGTCCGGTGCGGGGAGATAGGTGAGCATTGACAATTACCTGACAAACTGAAGCCTCAAGGGCTCATGGGTTAGGGGCTTCCTTGCTGGCTCAGTAGTAAAGGATCCGCTTTTAGTTAAAGGATCATTTATCCTTTAGTTACAGAGAGCTAACTTGAGAGTTTCATAACCTTGAACTTCAGCTTATCCCTGACCTCTAGGGAAAAAACTTTATAGAAGAATGCAAGAGTGGAAAGAGCTGGCCAAAACTTAGTAATTTTTCTACACATTAATGGTGATGTCATAATTTCTCCTATAACATCTTTCTTGGGGACCAGTTGAAACTAAGAAGGAACAGGTTATATAAGTAAATCAAAAGCCTCTTTTTGCATTCCAGCTATATTTTTTCTCTCTAGTATATGACTTCAGTTTCACTGAAAACAGAGCTAGATGGTGTATGTATGTATGCTAATAGATGTATGTGTTAATAGATGTTAAATTATTTCAATAATGGAAAAGGTATGATTGAACAAATAGCTGTTAGACTGTAATACATAAGTGGATCTCAGTAACGGTCCTATAAATCTGAACCGTCGGGATAAATTTTGTTTTATTATGAACTTAATAATTCCTATTTCCTAAAATATTAATTTATATGGATTTATAAAAGGGAAATTCATCTGTTATTTTGGAATCTTGTCTATGTCTGGGTGTGTGCTCTGTCATGTCTGACTCTTTTTGACCCCATGAACTATAGCCTGCTAGGGTCCTCTGTCCATGGGCTTTCCCAGGCAAGAATACTGGAGCAGGTTGCCATCTCCAGAGCTTCCCTAGTGCTCAGACAGTAAAGCGTCTGCCTACAATGCGGGGGACCCGGGTTCAACCCCTGGGTCGGGAAGATCTCCTGGAGAAGGAAATGGCAACCCATTCCAGTATTCTTACCTGGGAAATTCCATGGATGAAGGAATCTGGTAGGCTACAGTCCATGGGGTCACAAAGAGTTGGACACGACTGAGCGACTTCACTTTCTTTCTTTCTTTCTTTCTCCAGGGGATCTTCCTGACCCAGGGATTGAACCCAGGTCTCCTGCATTGTAGGCAGATTCTTTACTATCTGAGTTATAGGGAAATGCCACTGCTCACGTAGGCTCTGTTTCCTGTTGATTGCCTTCAGATGTGTGTTCATCTTGATACAACTCTGTCCACTTATTTGAAATTTGACCTTAACTTTCTCAAATGTCAGTCTATTTAAAAATTTTTATTTAATTATGAAAGTAATACAAACAGAGCACATGTGGAAAAACCATATGTAATACCATCTTAACACAACAGCTATCAGTTCAGTTCAGTTCAGTCACTCAGTTGC